TATCACGCTCCAGGAATTCTGCACCGTAGCGCTGTCCTCCCATTATTCATCAATTTGCTCAAGCGGGCCCAGTAACGTCTCCATCGTGAGACATGTTGTTACTGTGTCTGGCATATCGAATACGTCACGGGGAGCTTGCCAGGCTCTGCCATGCGGGCGAGATACTCTCAGTAGCTTGCCGGGCTCTCCGAGAGGGGCGGAGGAATCAAACTGGCTCAGCCAGGCCGGCTACACTCAAGGCAAATGCCCTACCGCTGTGCTATCGCTCCGCCATTAGAACTTTAGTGTCATCTAAGTTTTTTTCTCATTAAAATATATAAAATGTTCTAATATTGTATGACTGAAATCTAATCATGAAAGCTTTGTAACTGTGTATCTCATGGTGATTCAATTTATATATATATAATGTTATATATGATATAAAATATATATCAAAATATAACATAATGTAAGCTATTATATATAACATACTATATAATAACAAAAGTTAACATTATATATGTATTTATGAATTATAGAATGTCAGAACCAGGATGGGACCTTCCAGTTTATCTGATTAAACAATTAGAGGAAGCAGGAGGAGAGTTAACATTATATAACTTTAATATGTAATGTTAATATTAGGGGCCCAAAGCAATAGTACATTGGCAAGGGTAGGGTTATCTTGTATGTGGCAAACCCAGGTTCGATCCTGGCATCCCATATGGTGCCCCCAACCCCCACCAAGAGTGGCCCCTAAGCACAGAGCCATGAGAAAGCCTGAGTACTGCTAGTTGTGGCCCCCAAACAAACAAAAATGTTAACCTTTGGTGTCTATTGCATATATATCCATCCATACATTATTATGGAATTGATTCCATGATAGATCCAGTTGAAATAAAAGCTGATACAGATTGTAAGAATTACAGAATGTATGCATTTTTATAATTTAGAAGAGTTTAAGCCATAATGTTCACAAAATGATGATTCAAATTTCGAAGAGCTTGTACTTCTAAAATGTCCAGTAGAGGGTGGAGTCACACCTCGTGAGACTGCCGAACATGGGCGGCAGGAGAGAGAGACTGCTGAGGTCTTTTTGAGTTTACACAACTTACACAATTGCCTTTTATTCCATTTTATTTGTGGGGTTTATGGCACATTTGGTTGTGCTTGGGGACTACTCCTGGCTCTGTGCTCAGGATTCAATCTTACCAGTGCTGAGGGGACCATACATGATGCCAGGAATCCAACCGGGGTCAGCAGAATCGAAGGCAAGTGCCTAAACTCTTAAACCTTATCTCCAGTCTAACAATTGTCTTTTTAAAATTACCAATATAACACTCCTTTTACAGGACACATTGTAACAGAATCAGACAACCAAAAAAATTAAAAATCCTGTAAATTAAACCCATTTATCTCCAAAAATAACCTAATTAACTTTTTTTTTTTTTGGGTCACACTCAGGGGTTACTCCTGGTTTGCACTTAGGAATTATTCCTGGTGGTGCTTGGGGGACATATGGGATGCTGGGAATCGAACCTGGGTGCATGCAATATATATTTGTATATACATATATTCTATATATACATATATATTCTAAAGAATGACCTTTCTGTCTGCTTGTGCTGAAAGAGCAAGCCCTCTGCAGCAGTCACTAATTATATGTAGTCACGTAGCACTTGAAACTTCATTAATCTAAATTGATTAAACGTGTCATATGAAAGATATGGAGACATTCAAAGCCTTCAACAAAAAGGAATAGCACTATCTTAGTGGCATTATGTTGACTGCATGTTAAAATAATCACCTTTTGAATTTATTGAGCTAAATAAATGTTATTACTGGAAGATATAACATTTTATCTGTGACTCATTTATTTCCAAGAAAGCTAATTCAGCACATTGCAAAGGACACCTATAAAGATAAAAGCACTGAGATTTAATTTCAATGTATTATTGTTTTTTTAATAATCTGATTTTATTATAAATATATCCTAACAGAGAGTAAAAAACCAGAAACTATATTAAATGTTAAAACTATATTAAATGTTAAACTATATTAAATGTTGAACTATATTAAAAAAGCAGAAGTTCTGGGGCTGGAGCGATAGCACAGCGGATAGGGCGTTTGCCTTGCACGCAGCCAACATGGCCAACCCGGGTTCGATTCCCAGCATCCCATATGGTCCCCCGAGCACTGCCAGGAGGAATTCCTGAGTGCATGAGCCAGGAGTAACCCCTGAGCATCACTGGGTGTGACCCCAAAAGCAAAAAAAAAGCAAAAGTTCTGGAGACTGGAGAGACAGTACAGTGGATAAGTCTTTCACACAGCTGACCCAGGTTTGACCCCTGCAACCCATCTTGTTCCCTGAATCTTACAGGAGTGACCCTTGAGTGTAGAGCCAGATGAATTTTTGTTCAAATCAGACACTCCAGGAATTCTAAAATTTTAAATGAGGTGATACAGTTGGAGTGAAATTTTTAACTGGATGGGGACTTTGGGGGTCTGAGGCATCTCTGCAGCTTGTTGATCTCTTTCGAGATTTGTGAGTCTCTGGATCATGACCGGTTAATGAGTTTATATGGCGCCAGAGGCAGTTCCTGGGTGTGACTGCCAGGCTCCCGGAAGAACAGGGGTATGGGGGGGGGGAAGGTCACCCATCCCCAACTCCACGAGAGCCTGGAGATTTCCGTCACAATATCAGCATACCTGAGTTTTTCCAACAGATTCATTCATGGGTGAGGCTAGTCTGAGCCTGTGGAGATCAGTCGTAAGCATGGTGACGATTGGGTTCTGGAGGGTTTTCAGCTGTCGGGGCTCTGTTGGGCCAGGTGGTAGCACTCACCCGCCCCCCTCCAGGGTGCTCTGGATACGAGGTTCAGCCTGGTGCAGGGTATGGAGGTACCTCGGCAGTTTGTTGATCTCTTCAGAGATTTACTTGCGAATCTCTGGATTTCAACTGGTTAATGAGCTTAAATGGCACCAGAGGCAGCTGTGGGCATGACCGCCCGGCTGCAGGAACAACAGGAGGTTGGGGGAGGTCCCTCATCACCGGCTTCTAGAGCAGCTTTAAGAGGATTCCCCACCCTCCTGCTCCTCAGCTGGAGATGTGCATGCTGAACCTCTTCACTCCTACTGGATCCACAGTGCTCACACACTTAGCCCATGGGCCTCTAGGTGCGCACAGAGGGGCAGAAAGAAATTAGGAGACATGGATAGCAGCGAGGGCGTTTGCCTTGCACACAGACAACCTGGGTTCAATGCCCAGCATCCCATATGTTCCCCTGAGTACCACCTGAAATAATTCCTGAGTGCAGAGCCAGGAGTAACCCCTAGCATCACTGGATATGACCCAAAAAGCCAAATAATAATGATAGTAATAATAATGAGAGCTTGCAAAGGCCCTTCTGGGTCAGAGCGTGGTAGTGCCGAGGACCAGAAACAGAGACCATGGGAGGTGGCCTCGCAGGCGTAACTGGGACGGTAGGGTCAGACTCCCAGCAGGGCTGCAGACCGCGATGGAGACATGCACGGGCAGGCTGAAGCCAGAGGCGGGTCAGAAGAAAAACTGAAAAAAAGGCAGAGTGGAGAATTCGAGCAGAGAGCAGCTCCTGGCACGGGTTAGGGGCAGAGAACCCTCTTCCCACCAGCCCACCCTTTCTCACCCGGGTCCTCCCCACTGGGAACTGAGGCAGAATGCTGAAGGGGAAGCCAACCCGTAGCTTTTAATTATGCACCCAGTATGTGCTGGGCCCCGTAAAAAGGGCAGGGGATGCATTTGTGAGTAATGAGGATTTTGCCTGCCTGGAACTTGCCTTCTCCAGGATGGAAATGACAAGGGTGGAGTGGACTGGACTGTGGGAGTGGCAGCTGATTGGACGAAACCTCTGGGGTCGTATACTCAGGGAAGTGACTGGGGTAAGAAGGGATGCTTAATTCCAAGAGCAAGGATAAGATAAAAAAGAAAATAGACCTTAAAGACAAAGACCAGTTAGAGTCCAGCAGGTAGGGCGCCTGCCTTGCTGACCAGGGTTCGATACCCAGCACTCCGTATGCTCTCCTGAGCCTGCCAGGAGTGACCCCTGAGCACAAAACGAGGAGTAAGATCTGAACACAGTGGGTATGGCCTACCTCCATCCCCCTACCCTGCCCCACCCCCCCAAAAAAAGACACAAGTTTTGGGGCTAGAGTGCATGCTTTGCATGCCAGAGACTTGGGGTTCGATCCTTGGCACTGCATGTCCCGAGCATCCCCAGATGTCGTTCCCCACCGACCCCCCCACCCCAAGAAAAAGACTATGATCTTCACCTAGAGTGAGTACATGCAGGCCGGTGCCCTTTAGAAGAGCTCCGTCCCACAGCGGGTACTTTTTCAAAGACTCAAGTGCACGTCTTGGTCATTCCGATGAAGCAGGGAGGTGCAGCATTTTACAAATATTTCCACCCAGTATGTTTTCAACAGCGCTCACAGGTGTGTGTGTGTGTGGGGGTGGGGGGAGGGGGGAGGCTCGTTAATGTGGAAAATATATCTTTTCCGCCTCCCCCCCACCCTGGCCCAGGTTTCGTTCGGCAAAGTTTCTCGGCGTGGGTTCAGGTCGACTCAACAATCTGTCACCACCCGTCGCGTCCCGAAACCCCGTAACTCTTTGTTTCTGGGTGCAAGAGCACCTTTGCAGGTTGGAATTAATCCGCAAACAAGCTGGAGCGCAGGGCCAGGACGACCCCCCTCACTCCCTCTGGGACTGGTTTTTGTCCTTCTGTTTTGTTTTCTCCGGTGCTGCTAGGCGACCCTAACTCACGGTCTCCGGGGTGACCCGCCACCTCCTCCAGGGCAGACAGAGGCGGTGCCAGGGCTGGGTGGGGTCCAGGGGGGCGGGGCCCGCGGAGCGCGAGAGGCCGCGGGAGCCCGAGGGGGCGTGTCCGGGGCGTGGCTTGGGGGCGGGCACGCAGAGCCTGAGCGGCCGCGCGAGCCTGAAGGGGCGTGTCGGGGGCGTGTCGGAGGCGGGGCCTGCGCGCGCTTGCGCGCTGCGTGCTGCGGGAAGCAGAGGCCGCGGCGCCGGGGAAGATGGAAGACTACCAGGCTGCCGAGGAGGTAACTGCCGGCCGGACCCGCGGGGAGGCCGGCGCTCGGGGGCGGCCGGGCAGCGCAGGCCGGGGCATGGGGGCCCCCCTGGAGCTGCCGGACGGGCCACGCAGCCCCCCCACCCCCCGGCCGGGCCGGGACCCCCTCGGCCGCGCCGCGCTCCCGGGCCCGTTGCCCCGCCCGCGTGACGTCACCGCCCCGACTCGCGCGCGGCGGACCCTGCCCGGGGTGGGGGGCGGCGCCCCGCACCTGCCTTTGTCCGCCCGACCGAGCCCCGGGTGGCCGAGGGCGTCGCCCGGTGCCCCAGCGGCCGGCCTGGCTGCCCGCCGCAGAGTCCCCTGCATCCCTGCAGCGTCCCCTGCATCCCCGCAGCATCTCCTGCATCCCCTGCGTCCCCGCGGCATCTCCTGCATCCCCTGCATCCCCGCGGCACAGCCCAGGCCTGCCCCCGGCGCGGGTGGCCCGCCGAGCACTGCCCCTCTGCAGAATGCACACGGGGCGTCCTGGCAGAAGTGGACGAGGCGGTGACGTGGCAGGGAGGACTGGTTTCACAGATTGTGCAGTGTTGACTTGGAAGGTTTAGAGGGAACAGAAACCCCCCTGGGGCTTGAGGGCTGAATGCCCGGCCTTTCCCGTCCCGTGGACCGGCCCCTGTCGCAGTGCTGGGAGAGCCGGTGGGAACTCCCCAGTGTGAGGTGGCCCTAGCCAGGAAAGAAGAGGAAGAAAAAGGAATGGTGACCAAAGGAACGCCTAGTGGTCCTCGGGGTCACTCCTGGCAGTGCTCGGGGCACCCTCTGGGGCGCGGGGGTCCCATCCGGGTGGGCTGCGTGCAGGCCAGTTACCAGTCTGCTGCGTTCCCGCCCCAGTGGAGGCGACCTTGGAAGGAGCCTTTAAACTCCCAGGAATGTGTCTCCAAGACGCCCCTGCGTGGCCTCACGGGGTTGCGTCCACTGGGCTCCAGGAGTGACTTTCCAGTACTGCGCCAGGCAGGCAGCTCGAGATCCTTCTGGAAAGGAAAGGGATTTACTGGGGTGCAGCCACAGGGGTCAGCAGCCGGCAGGGAGGAAACCCACTGCCCAGAGTGGGGCGCAGTGCCCGGGACACACACCCAGCCTCGGGGCCATTGCCATATCCTGTAAGGAAAGAGCAGAAAGAACTAAGGAAGCCACCGCTCCCCAGCCCCCTGCCCAGGTGGAGGGGGACAGGTGCCAGCAGGACACGGTTCTTACGAAAAGACCCCACATCTGCCGAGTGAGAAAGACGCAGTCTCGGCCTCCTGCCTGAGTCACTTGCTACAGACAAAAGTGCAGCCACTCGTAGGCTGTGTGAGTGACCCTGAACGTGAGGCAGAGACCGTTCTCGTGAACAGACCACCTCACCCGCGGCCACTCCTGAGCCCCAGCCTGTTTGTGGCGGTTTTCTCAGTAAACAAGTGTTGTCTGTTGAGATCCGCTTGGGTTTGGTGTTTGGGGGGACCACACCTGGCGATGCTCCTGGCTCTGTGCTCAGGAATCGCTCCTGGCGGGGTACAGGGGGTCATACGGGGGATGCAGCCCCAACTGCAAGGAGAATGCCCAGCCCGCTGCAGTTTTCTGGCCTCTTGGAATGTTTTAAACGTCTGTTCCCCGCCTGAGCCTGCAGTGAAGCGCCTCTAACCACCTCTCTGCTTCCTTCCAGACTTCCTTTGTCGTTGACGAAGTGAGCAACATCGTGAAAGAGGTGAGAGGAGAAATGCTTATTTTTTTTTAACTATCTGATTAGTGGCTTATGTGAAAATAATGTGTTTTAATTACCACCTCGGAATTGGTTCCGCTGAGCCTATGTGTTTTGGCATTTCAAATAACAGTTTTTACTTCCATGAGCATCTAGACAAGAATTACTCCCATATTATGTAAATTGTATCTTTTTTAGACAGGGAATTATACATGCAAGCTGAAGCCTTACTGAAGGCCACTGAGGCTTGGGTGTGTAACCGACCAGCCGGCTCACAAGTGTTTCCTGAACCAGCGGGCAGGAAACGGACAGTGGGACAGGAGAGAATCGGCTCCTTTCAGCGTGGCTTGGTGTGGGCCCGCACCCTGCAGTGCACGCAGGCTGGACCCTGCGGGGTGCAGGAACCCACCCTCCCTGGGAGCCCCTCCCCTGCTCGCACCCCTCCCTCCACCCCGTTCCTCTGCCCCTGGCTTGGGCAGTCTCTTTGGTGTCACCGCGCTGCTGGCCTTGCTTGCCTGGTCACCAGGCAGCAGGTCTGGCCACCCTGTGGTCTCCTGGGCCCGCCCTGGCAACACGTTAACTCTGGACTTGAGCCACGTGAGCGTTTGAAAGAAAATCCAAAGAGTGTCCCCCCGAAACCCAGCGTGTGGGGAGACCTGCCCGAGAGGCTTAGCTTAGACAGACCCGCCGCACCCTCTCGATTCAGCATCTGGCCGCTCTGAGCCGGGGCTCAAGCTCTGCGCGGGAGAGAGAGGGGCAGGACCTGGTGGGCTGCGGGTCCTGCTCTGGGGTCTCTGCTCTGCCGGCTCTCGGGGGCCCTCAGAGATGCTGCAAACTTGGGGCTGGCTGGCTGTGTGCTTGGGCCCTAGTGCTGGGTCAGCCTGGGCCTCCGTGCAGCCCGAGCCCAGGTCAGGGCTGACCCCCGTGCGCTGTTTTAGGGTATGACTTGTAGCACCCGGTTCTCTGGGTTTCGGCGTGAAGGAGGAAGGGGTGGCAGAGGGAGTGTCCTTGGGAATCGGTATGTCGGCAGCAGCGGCAAAGGCCTGAAAAATCATAAAACGGGAGCTGCGGACTGTGGGTGTGGGTGGAATGGGCGGAAGAGGGCAGGGGGCAACACGCGCACCCTGTGGAGACCAGAATGGTGGAGGGGAGGGGTCGGATCTTTCCCACCCCGTCCTCCCTTGCGGTGCGCACCCAAGTTTGTGCTTCGCCCAGGGGTGCTCACGATAGCTTCGGGCCGTGCTGCCTGCAGCGTGTGGGAGACTGTGTTCCCTGAGCAGAGCCAAACAGCACATCCCCCAGACCGTCACCTTCCCGGCCGCCGCGTCAGCTGAGGTGCACGGTGCAGCTATGCCGTATGGGAGCTCAGGGTGGCACTCACGTGTGCTCCCCAGAGGTCACAGTGCTCCCTCCCGGTCACGGTGCTGTTCCTCGGGACCCATTAAGAATTTTTTTTTTTGCATGGGTGGGGCACAGTGCTCAGGCATGACTCCTGATTTCTGTGCTCGAGGATCACTACTCCTGGCAGCCTCAGGGGACCATATGGGGTGCTGGGGACTGACCACAGGTTGGCCAGGTGCAAGGCAAGTGCCCTCGCCGCTGTACTATCTCTCCGGCTCCAAAGAAGTGGGTCGGTTGGCTTGATTCTTGTGTGGAGGCCACACCCAGCCGTGCTGGGGGTTACTCCTGGCTCTGCATTCAGGAATTACTCATGGCAGTGCTCGGTGGGGGACGATACAGGCTGCTTGGGGTCGAACTGGGTCAGCCATGTGCAAGGCAAGCGCCCTCCGCGCTGTGCGGTCACTCCAGCCCAAAGTGTGTTTTTAATGCCTCCCTGGACATATGTTTTGGTGCTGCCAACTGTGTAAGTGGTGGATAGCAGCTTTTTTATTTTTATTTATTTATTTTGCTTTTTGGGTCACACCTCTCGGAGAGCCCAGCAAGCTACCAAGAGTATCTTGATATGCCAAACACAGTAACAAGTGTCACAATGGAGACATTATTGCGCCCGCTCGAGCAAATCAATGAACAACTGGAGGACAGTGCTACAGTGCTACCCAGCGATGCACAGGGGTTCCTCCTGGCTCTGCACTCAGGAATTACTCCTGGCGGTGCTCGGGGGACCATATGGGATGCTGGGTATTAAACCCGGGTCAGCACATCTGGGTTCGGTTCCCAATCCTTTGCATGCAAGGCAAACGCCCTACCCATTGCGCTATCGTGCTAGCTCCCAGATATAGCTTTGTATTGAAGGAATGGGCAAAAGAAGTTTCTAGTCTAGTGGGGGAAAAAAGTATTATTTCCCGGTGTTTATCACATTTAAGTTAAATCAGTGAGATGTTTTTCAGATCCAACATGTGCTATAATTACGGCTTTTAAAAATGCGCGGGCTGGAGCGATAGCACAGCGGGTGGGGTTTTTGCCTTGCACGCTTCCAACCTAGGTTCTGATTCCCAGCATCCCGTATGGTCCCCCGAGCACTGCCAGGAGTGATTCCTGAGTGCATGATTCAGGAGTAACCCCTGTGCATCAGCTGGGTGTGACCTAAAAAAAAAAGGCAAAAATAAAAATGCATATAAAATGTACTTCACTGAAACAAGCCTGACCGGAGGCCTATGGCCAAGGGGCCGGTTGCTCCCGTTGAGCGCAGGGGCACCCTTCCCAGGTGCCGCTGGCTGCTGAGGGCACTTCCTGCCATCCTAGGCCATCGAGAGCGCCATCGGCGGCAATGCCTACCAGCACAGCAAGGTCAACCAGTGGACCACGAACGTGGTGGAGCAGACGCTGAGCCAGCTCACCAAGCTGGGCAAGCCGTTCAAGTACATCGGTAATGGCTGTCCGTTCCTCGGGTGGGGGTGGGGGGCGGCCCTCAGTGACGGGCCAGAGGTCAGGCCCTGGTGTGATGCCAGCCACATGGGCTGCTGGGGCAGTGGCGGGGTGTGAGCGTGCCAGGCGCTCAGGGCGACGAGGTGCCCCCCAGAGGCCACTGTCCCTGTGCGGAGGGCGCGAGGAGGCAGCGCGGGCTGGGCCGGCGGCTGACACATCTCTTGGTGTTGCAGTGACCTGCGTCATCATGCAGAAGAATGGGGCTGGGCTGCACACGGCCAGCTCCTGCTTCTGGGACAGCACGACTGACGGTAGGTGGTGCTGGGCTTCTGTCCCAGTGCACACGGGCGTGGGCTCCCCCACCTCCCGTCCCCCGGTGGGTGGCTGGTGTCTCCCACCCCCAGCCTCACACCCCTGCTTTCCTGCAGGGAGCTGCACCGTGCGATGGGAGAACAAGACCATGTACTGCATCGTCAGCGCCTTCGGGCTGTCCATCTGAGGTGGCCGCGCTGGCCCTCCCATCTCCGTCTCTCCTCCCGTTGGTGTTTCCTGAGGTGCGGCTCTCGCCGCGGAAACACCAGCATCACCCCCAGAGAATCGTCACCAGAGGCTGGCCTGCCACCTGTCTTAACTCGGAACATTTCTTTTCTCAAAGGTGCTCAAAACCGACATCTGCTCGTGTGAAACTCAACTCTGCAATGACTCACGGACACTAGTTTTCCATACTTTGTACTTTTGTTAGAATAAATTATTCCAACTTAATGCTGGTGCGTTTCTCATGGTCTCGGCGGTGGCTCGCTTCAGGGGTTCCCCGTGTATACGGCCACTGTGGCCTTTGGGTTTCTGTGTCAGAAATGAGTCGGAGTCGGTCATTTCCCTGCCTGGGCACGATGCCCTCAGGGTCTCGGGCAGGACAGGGGGTGGGCGCGCTGGGTTCCCGTGGGGTCTTGGGCAGGATGGGGTAGGCATGCCAGGCTAGCCAGAGCCCCGGCCTGGGCCCCACTGCTGTTCTGCAGTGACTTCGGGACCGACTTGATCCTGGGATGCAGCCACAGTTCCCGGGTCCGCGAGCGAGTCGTTCCCGAGTCAGGAGCCACATCTGTGCGTGCAGACATGTGGCTGGGTGGTCCTACTCGCTCCCCAGCCCTTTCAACAAGGAGCTCGTGCCAAGAGCCAACAAAGCAAGGCGCGTACGTTGGAATTGGTGATTAAAAATTTATTGACATTTACAGCAAGGCAGTCTCGGGAGAAAACCCGTCCCGAGTGTGGCCCGTGCGCTGCACTCAGACGCCAAGCCCCGACAGGCCCTTCTCTCCTGGAGCCTAGCCGAGCGATTCACTTTACAAATTATTTGCAGTATATCTGTAAAAAGGCAGTTTTTAGTAGCAGAAAATCCTGTGTTTCTTAGTGCGGTCAAATAGTTACCGGTATGCTTAAAACTTTAAACTAGAGTAACAGGATGTCTTAGGATAACGCGACTCCCCTTTGGCGGGGGGAGACTTCTTTTTACCCCCCAAAGTCTAACCTCTAAGGCAACTGGTTTCTGACACCCTCACAGTATAGACATTTTCTTTAGGTTTCAAGCCCCGGCTCAGCGAGCAGCTGTGCTGTCCCCGGGGAAAGGCCTTGCTCGGACCCACCTCAGTCACTGGCCCCTCAAGGACGCGCTCTGCACTCCGCGAGGCCGGGGGCACTCACCTCACAGCCCAGTTCGGGCCTGGCTTTACATAAGAGAAACTTTATTGCAATCTACGATTCTGTAAGGAACCTTCAAACCATGAATACAGCTTCTGTGTCCCCGGCCGAGCCTTTCAGATTGGGCCTGGAGGAGACGGCACCACTTCACTGCGGAAATGATTTAATAATAAATCAAGCAGCCTGTTACCCCGAGGGGCTGAGAAAGCACCTGGTCATCTTCCAGTCTGAAAACATTATCCCAAAGATGTTATTCAGGCCGTACCCACGACAGAACTAAAGTCAGCCTTTTGTCTAGGTCTGCAAAACTCTTGATAATCAACAAAGGGTTTGGGGGTGGGGGCGTGGACAAAAACAACTGTAGTGCTCCTATCTAAAATTTTTGGCAGACTTTAGTGTTTTAACCTAATACCCACAGAACACATGACATGCAAATATTATCCGCTTTCCAGTTTTACATGAGGCATTCGACACCGTGCTAGAGACCAGGAAAGAGAAATGGCAGGTGTGTGATTTAGTAAGGACCCGCTCAGCTCCTGATAGGGACTTCTTTTATAATCTTATTTCCAATAGTTAAAAAAGAGGACTAAATAAATACTTGCATGGTTTCCATATCAGCAACTTGATTCTCTGAAGACTCAGAGAATGTGATTATCGGTCATAGTTTATAATTACACTGTAAGACAAAGACATTTTTAAAAGTTCTAATGCATTTGGCTAAATGCTTCAAATATTTTACATTTTCTGAGAACAGCATTCCAATCATGGACAATTATATAATTATGTTAGATCTTCTAAACTATAGTGCATATAAGAATACATTAATCAGCACAAGTATTTGTTAATTTACATAAAGTTATTTATAGCTACTCTTAATAGAAGTTGTAAAACTTGGGAAGGAAGATCTTTAAATAACTTTGAGTACGCAGAATTAACAAAAGAATAATTTTACCATTGCAAATGGGAAGTCCATGTAAACGTGACTTACTCTTTCAATAATACACTTGTTTTCATTCATTCATATTTACAAGGTTTTGAAAACAAACAGAAGTGGAATTTATATATTCAAGATTCCTTCTCGCGAGAGTTTAAAGTAAGACGACGGGGAACCCAGATTGCATCATCTCCCGAGGCTCTGCTCAGGGATCGAGCTGGGGTCAGCAGCGTGCAGGTCGGCCAGCGCCTTCCGGAAGCTCGCTAAGGTCCAGAAGTGCCTAACGGGGAGCAGCGCCAGGTGACACGTGTGGAAGCCAGAGCTGGTGCATAGGACAGGCAGGGTTCTGCCGGCACAGCCAAACTGTCCACACCCCATTGGGGCATGGCTGGAGGTGGGGGTGGGTGCACCCGCGGGTGCGGGCAGGAGCCAAAACGCTGTGGCCCCCACCACGGCCGGACCCCCACAGCGGGACCGCTGGCCAATCTCACAGGGCTGTTCCCACGAGAGCTTGCAGCCGTGTCCCGAAGAAAGTTCTGGCCGTCCTTTGTTAGTGTTCATTAAAAAAGAAAGTTGTCCCAGGGTGAGGGGGTTTTGTTTGCTGGACTGTAGTGTGGAGACCCCCCTCCCTGTTGGGGCAGCAGCTGGGACCCTGCAGGGCTTCCACAGGCCGGCGTCCCTCCAGGCTCAGGAAGGCCCAGTTGTGCGGTGGCCTCCCAGGCTGGCTCCGGAGAGGACTGGGCCAACCCGGGGCTGGGGGACAGCGGGCAGGGACGCGGCCAGCACAGCTGCCAGGCAGGACCCCCCGACAGCGGGCGCTCAGACGGGGCATCAGTCCGTTCGTGAAAAAGAAAGTGTGCGAGTTCTCCCTGCTGAGACGGGGCTGCTGGCAACCTCTGACTCTCAGCGCGGGGGACTCGGCCAGCCACTGTCAGCACCTCTTCCCATTCCCATTCAGAAGGAAGCCGGGCCCTGCGTTCCGGCGGCGGCCGCTGCGTTTCCCTTCACCGCGGGGCGACAGGTGAGCACCCTGGCCGCGGGCGCGGGCTCAGTCGCTGTCCGACTCCTCCCGGTACTGTGCGCGGATGGCCTGGCCGTTCTGCAGTGGCATCTCCTCGTAGTCGCTCCTGGGAGGAGCAAGGGGAGGCGGACGCTGTGACTGGCGCTCCCCGACTCTCCCTCCAGCCCCTGCAACGGAGGCCGGCGACACAGGCACGTGGGCCCAGGATGCAGGACTCACCCGTAGATGACGTCGTCGTCCGAGTCATTGAGCATGGAGAAGGCGGGATTGTCCTTCAGCTGCGACTCTGCGGCCAACAAGAATCCCATCAGGGCAGGCAGCGGGCAGAGGACGCCGGCCTCCCGCACCCGCACCCTCAGAGGCGCAGAGTCCACGCATCGTCGGCCAGAGGGTGCAGCGGGGCCTTCCTCAGACGCTGCCCACGACTCACGGAGCACGGCCAGGGGCCCCAAGGGGAAGCTTCCAGCCCCGCCACACGACTGAGGGGCTGCTGGGGTCTTGGGTCCCCCGGGGCAGCGGGGTCTGTGCGTCCCCTCCCTCCCCAGGCAGTGGGGTCTGTGGGTACCCACGGGCAGTGGGGTCTGCGGTTTCCCCAGGGCAGCGGGGTCTGAGTGTCCCCCCGGTCAGCGGGGTCTGAGGGTCCCCCCGGGAAGTGGGGTCTGAGGGTGCCCCTGGGCAGCGGGGTCTGAGGGTCACCCCCTGGCAATGGGGTCTGCGGGTCTCCCCCGGGCAGTGGGGTCTGCAGGTCTCCCCTGGGCATCAGGGTCTGCAGGTGCCCCCGGCAGTGGTGCTCAGAAGCAACTCCATGCGCCTGAGCCCTCAGCGCTGAGGCTGCTACGGACCCGCTTTGCCTTTGCTTCCGACCAGAACTCTGGAAACGCCCCCCCAGGACAAAGGCAAGCGGAGACACCCAGGCCGCTCTCCAGAGCTGCTCACCGTACAGGGCGTTCCTGGACGGCGAGTACACGAAGGCCAGAGTGTAGAGGTAAAAATTCAACAGGCCATAGAAGGACAAGAACTCAGCGGGTGACACGCGTCAAGGAAACAAGTGTCTGCTCGTCTGCCCGGGAGCGGCTGCCCCTCCGAGCCCGGGGAGCCCTTCCTCTGCCCGGGACTGCCCAGAACCTCCAAAGCTGTGACATGTCGCACCAAGGCCTGTGGAGAGGCCCGGAAGGCCTCGTGCAGGCAGCAGGTGGGAGCCGCCAGGCGCTCTTCCCGCCCTGGGCTAGGCCCTGGGGTCCCTAATGCCGCACTGAGGTGACGATGGATGAGGCCTGGAAAGCCAAGGGTCAGCCCCGACGCCCACTGCTTGGAGCTGCACGAGAACGCAGGTTGGGGCGTCGCTCAGAACGAGAGTCCCCAAATTACCCCAATGGCAGGAAAAAAGGGGTACAGAGTCACTGCAGATGCTGGGGCCCTGGGCTGGTTTTACTGGTTTGGGGCCACACCCAGTGGTGCTCAGGGCATCCTCCTGGCGGGGCTCAGGGGCGCATATGAGGTGCCGGGGCTGAACCCGGGTCCGCTGTGTGCAGGGCAGCGCCAACTCACTGTCCTACGGCGCCAGCCCCGATGCTGGGTTCTGGGGCTTGAAGCTGGGGAGCCTGGGGAGCTTCACCCAGTGCAAGCTACTGCCCTATGGGGGGGCATGTGCCATCCCCAGCCAGAGAGCAGAGGACCCTCCCCCGCCCCCCGAGAGGCCGGCTCACACCTACATGCCCGCGATTCCACTGAGGGCACCACGGCGCCGGCACCCGCCAGCTCAAAGGATATAATTCTGGTAGTTGGTCGACAGCTCGGCTACAAAATTGTCCTGCAGCACTTGGGCTCCGAACCGCAAATACAGGATGACGATGCTGGGAAAGGAGCATCGGTGAACAGACGGAAACGGGCTGGTTCTGGACAGCGGGTGCTCGGCCCAGGAACCCTCGTGCCCGCTCACTCACATCGCCTGAGTGGGCGGAGCGAGTCCACCAGCCCTGACCACCACCTATGGCTGGAACGGGGGCTTCACCTGGTCCCGTCCCTTTCTCTCTCCTGGCACCCAGGCAAACCCACTCCTGCCGCCGCCTGAGGAAAGTTGGGTTCTCTCATCCAACAGTGCTCCCGGGCTCGAAGCCCAGGTCGACAAAGCAGCAGCCTGTGCGGACGCTGGAAACGGAGGGCTCAGGGCCATGCTGCTCGCCCCTGACCCAAACACAGGCCAGGCCAGCACCCTACAGACTGCTCCCCATCGCTGTCCCAGGGACAGCGAGGAAAAACACACAACAGACCCTTTGCCTCCCAGCCAAGAGCCACCCAAGGTTTCCCTTCCTGACAACAAAACCCAGACATGTCCCTCAGGCCCAAGTGTGTGTCTCCCAGAGCCAAGGGTATGATTCTCAGGAGTCCAAGTGTGAGTCTCTCTCAGGAGTCCGAGTGTGAGTCTCTCTCAGGTATCAAGTGTGAGTCTCAGGTGTCGAGTGTGGATCTCAGGTGTCAAGTGTGAGTCTCTCTCAGGTGTCAAGTGTGAATCTCTCTCAGGTGTCAAGTGTGAGTCTCTCTCAGGTGTCAAGTGTGAACCTCTCTCAGGTGTCAAGTGTGAGTCTCTCAGGTGTCAAGTGTGAGTCTCAGGTGTCAAGTGTGAATCTCTCTCAGGTGTCAAGTGTGAGTCTCAAGTGCGAATCTCAGGTGTTGAGTGTGAATCTCTCTCAGGTGTCAAGTGCGAGTCTCTCTCAGGTGTCAAGTGTGAGTCTCTCTCAGGTGTCGAGTGTGAGTCTCAGGTGTCAAGTGTGAATCTCAGGTGTCAAGTGTGAATCTCTCTCAGGTGTCAAGTGTGAGTCTCTCTGAGGGGTCTGAGTGTGAGTCTCAGGTGTCAAGCACGAGTCTCTCTCAGGTGACAAGTGTGAGTCTAAGGTATCTAGTATGAGTCTCCTGTGTCTGGATGTGATTGTCCTGTGTCTGGATGTGATTCTCAGTTGTGATTCAGGTGTCTAGTGTGAGTCTCAGGTGTTGAGTGTGAGCCTCAGGTGTCAAGTGTGAATCTCTTTCAAGTGTCAAGTGTGAGTCTCTCAGGCATCAAGTGTGAGTCTCTCTCAGGTGTCAAGTGTGAACCTCTCTCAGGTGTCAAGTGTGACTCTCTCAGGTGTCAAGTGTGAATCTCTCTCAGGTGTCAAGTGTGAGTCTCAGGTGTCAAGTGCGAATCTCAGGTGCTGAGTGTGAATCTCTCTCAGGTATAAAGTGCGAGTCTCTCTCAGGTGTCAAGTGTGAGTCTCAGGTGTCGAATGTGAGTCTCAGGTGTTGAGTGTGAGCCTCAGGTGTCAATTGTGAATCTCTCTCAGGTGTCAAGTGTGAGTCTCTCTAAGGGGTCTGAGTGTGAGTCTCAGGTGTCAAGTGTGAGTCTCAGGTATCAAGTGCGAGTCTCAGGTGTTGAGTGTGAATCTCTCTCAGGTGTCAAGAGCGAGTCTCAGGTGTCAAGTGTGAGTCTAAGGTATCTAGTATGAGTCTCCTGTGTCTGGATGTGATTCTCAGTTGTGATTCAGGTGTGAGTCTAGTGTGAGTCTCAGGTGTTGAGTGTGAGCCTCAGGTATGGACTGTGAGTCTCAGGTTTCAAGTGTGAATCTCTCTCAGGTGTCAAGTGTGAGTCTCAGGCATCAAGTGTGTCTTTCTCAGGTGTCAAGTGCAAATTTCAGGTGTTGAGTGTGAATCAGGTGTCAAGTGCAAATCTTTCTCAGGTGTCGAGTGTGAATCTCTCTCAGGTGTCAAGTGTGAGTCTTTCTCAGGTGTCAAGTGTGAGTCTCAGGTATCTAGTGTGATTCTCCTGTGTCTGGATGTGATTCTCATTGTGATTCAGGTGTCTAGTGTGAGTCTCAGGTGTTGAGTGTGAGCCTCAGGTGTGGACTGTGAGTCTGAGGTGTTGAGTGTGAGTCTTCTGTGTCTAGATGTGACTCAGTTGTGATTCAGATACCTAGTGTGAGCCTCAGGTGTGGACTGTGAGTCTCAGGTATCAGTGTGAGTCTCTCTCAGGTGTCAAGTGTGAGTCTCAGGTATCTAGTGTGAGTCTCCTGTGTCTGGGTGTGACTCAGTTGTGATTCAGGTGTCTAGTGTGAGTCTCAAGTGTTGAGTGTGAGCCTCAGGTGTGGACTATGAGTCTCAGGTGTCAGTGTGAGTCTCTGTGTCTGGGTGTGACTCTCAGTTGTGGTTCAGGTGTCGAGTGTGAGCTTCCTCAGGTGTCTCATGGCCCTGCCCAGGGTACTCCTGCCTGCCTCACCTACTCCCTTGCCACAGGGCCATGTATGTACCACTCCAACTGAGTCGAAACAGAACAGCTGTCACAGTCCTAGACTGGGCTCTGGGATCCGTGGGCCAAGCCCCACTTGTATTCTCATTCGTCCCATGCTGGGGCGGTGTCCACGGGGTCTAGCCACTGTGCTAAGCAGCTCAGGTGAGCGCGCACACCTGCCTCCCCTCAGGACGCGACAGAGTGTCCTGGCCCAAACTCAGGAATGTGACTGCCGAGCACCCTAAGATGAACCCCGCCGGGAGAGAGAGAGACTCCTGGCAGGAAAACAAACGTGCAGTGCCGCTTCTTTGTAGAGACACAGTTCTCTCACCTAATGATGAGCACCACGAAAGTCAGCGCAGTCAGAAATTTTAACCTGAGATCTGGAAAGGAAACAGATAAACTGTATTAAGTCTCCTCGAAAAGCTCATCAGAGGGAGCTTTAAAAATCAAACCCCGAAATCCCACTCCTCTCTGGACCTGGAGCCTCTGATTTTGTTTGGGGGCCACACCTGGTGCGATGCGGGGTGCGATACGTGGGAATCTCTCCTGCCGCTGCTCAAGGCCCATACGGGGTACCAGGGACTGAGCCTGGGCTGTGTACAAGGAAGCACCTTTCCCGGCCGTAGCATCTCTCAGACCCGAACCTCCTCCTGCCTGATGCCCAGAGGTGCTGTCCCACCTGCCAGGGCTCAGGAAGGTCCCCAGCCGGTCCCTCCACCACTCAGGCTCGGTGGGGATGCTGGAAGGATCCGCACAGCTATCACAGTCACGCTGGCCTGTCCAGCTCTCACCACAGGCCACCTGCAGCGCTGGCCCAGCTGGGGCAAGCGACAGGGGACAAACTGGCCCCATCCAGTGGACCCCCACCGCCTGGTCACTGCCGAGGGCACCGGGGGCGCTTACCGACGTAAGGCATGTGACGCAGCTCGGAACAGGCACGCACGATCAGGAACAGAAGGTACAGCACGTACACAGCCGCCACCACCATGAAGAAGACCTTCATCCCCTGAAAGGGCGTGGGTGTGGGTCAGTAGGGCGGCCGTGTCCTCCCCACACCGGCCGGCACGGCCCGGAGAAGCAGCACCCGTGCTCCCGCCCGAGGCAGAGGGTGCTCCCCAGGGCACATGCCACCCGCCCAGGAGTGCCTGGTGTTCCTCAGAGGGGCTGGACCCCCAAGGAGCCCTCGGCCTGTGCTCGCCTTGGGTGCCGGTCGCTGACAACCTGCTTTGGAAGGTGGTGGAACAGATCAAAGAAGAAGGTTCTAGAACCTGGATTCCCGGGCCTCAGTCCCCCCAGCTGTGAGCGGGAGAACTGAACGTCACCTAGTGACTGTGAGTTCTGAGTTGGCCCACTGGGCCGCACTCGTTCTTATTTCCTGTGGGGCCACACCCGAGTGTTCAGGGGACTGTGTGGTGCCCAGGGTCTGCCCGGGGTCCAGGGCGCAGAGCTGCTGTCCAGCCCCCTCGGTCACTCTCCTGCTCAGGGATGCAGTGACAGACAAGAGCCACTCGGGGCAGGAGCCACGGCCACACTCTAGCACCAGCCTCTGCGGGAAGCCCCTGGTGGGTGACTACAGCCCCCGGCCCTGCCCTCCTGCCCTGCTTGGAGGGTGCCCACGCGGGCACAGCCCAGAGCCTGGTGGCCGAGGGTCCCCCCGCCGTAGGGTGCCCACCTCCTCCACAGCTGGTTTCTGCCAGGGCCCGCCCTCCACCTGGTGCAGATGACCTGCCCCCCACCCCCACCACACATACACACACACACACACACACACACACACACACGCCCGCGCGCGCACTGCGCGCTACAAATGGGAAAGACAGACAGACGCACACTGCCTGCCAGGGGCCCTGCTTCCTGCCAGGTCAGAGGGCAGAGGTCACAGTCCCCACGCAAGAAGAGGAGTCTCCAAAGAGGTGCGCGGACCCCTGGCGGGGGAGTAGTCTGCACCCAGCCCCTGCCCAGGCGGCTGCACCCAGGGAGCCGGGCGAGAGTGCGCCCTGCCCGGGGACCCCCAGGATCGAGCCTGCAGCCTCTGCGCAGAAGACACTGGCCTGTCCCTGAGCCTCCAGCCTGGGCCCGGCCTGAGCTCTGGCGGCTCAGCAAACAGGCTGGGGGTGGGGCAGAGCGCCACGTTTCCAAGAAGCTGCACCTCAGGACATGCGTCCATTCCCATGACCCTCTGTAGTCGGTCTTTGTCGGGGTTTTTCTCTGGGGACAGCCACACCCGGAGATGCTCGGGGCTCACTCCTGGCTCTGCACTCAGGGGACCTTATGGGGTTCCCGGGTTAAGCCCGGTCAGCCACGTGTAAGTCCGGGGCCCTCCCCGTTGTCCCCTTGCTCTGGCCCACAAGACACAGCATTTAAGATATCCTCGGGAGCTGGAGCAATAGCACAGCGGGTAGGGCGTTTGCCTTGCACGTGGCCAACCCGGGTTCGATTCCCAGCATCCCATATGGTCCCCTGAGCACTGCCAGGGGTAATTCCTGAGTGCAGAGCCAGGAGTAGGCCCTGTGCATCTCCAGGTCTGACCCAAAAAGCAAAAAATAAATAAATAAAACATCCTCGGCTTCGTGATCACGTGGCTCAATTCAAGGGCTATTCCTGGCGCAGTGCTTGGGGCTCACAGGGCAGTGCTGAGGACCACCAGGGCTGGATGGAAACAGGACCCCCTCGCCCCACAAGGCAGTGAGCGGGTGTTGGTTCTCTCTCCAGCCCCAACCTCTGTCATACCTGGAAGTTTCCTGTGTCAACCCGGTACTGGTACATTGGATCATGCAATTCGTTGACTCTAAAAACAGAACACAACCTAAAGGTTAGGAAGTGTGGACTTTTTCAAAACTCCCCCACCTTTCCCTTATCTTAAAACTTACTACGGTGGGGCCGGGGTCATAGAACAGGGGGCAGGGCACTTGCCTTACACGCAGGCGACCCGGGTTTGATCCCCATCACCCCATGTTGTACCCAGGTGTGACTTGGGAGTGCAGAACTAGAAATTAACTCCTGAGCACTGCCATATGTGGGCCCAAACAAAGCCAAATCCTCACTAAGGCAGACGCGGACCACCCCCACGGTGTGATGAAGAAGACACCGTGTGTGCTGGGGAGCTGGCTGCTGACCCTCACAGCGCCCAGAGCCGCAGGACCAACACTGGCTTCTGTGCACACCCTGAGGCGAGGAGCAGCCCAAGGACCCCACGAGGCCTCCTGCACATGCCCATAGCTCTGTGACGAGAAGCAGCTTGACCCACGTGGTCACACACGTGGGTACTGTGGCACCAGGAACCCTCGGGCTTCTGTGGGGGCCGCTGACAGAAGGACAGCAGCAACAGAGGCCCACAGGAAGGAGCAGGAGGCCGTGAGGACAGTGCAGGAGGAAGGGGGGAGGGAGGGAAGGAGGAGGAAAGGATGGAGGGAGGAGGGAGGGAGGAATGGAGGGAAGAAGAGGGAGGAAAGATAAGAAGGGGAAAGTATGTAAAGGAGGTTGGAGGGAGGGAAGGAGGGAGGGAGGGAGGGAGGAAGGAGGAAGAGATGGAGGGGGGAAGGAAGGGGAGGAGGGATAAGGGAGGAGGGAAGTAGGGAGCACAGAGGGAGGGAAGGAGAGGGAGGGAAGAAGGATAAGGGAGGAGGGAAGGAGGGAGGGAGGGAGGGAAGGAGGATAAGGGAGGAAGAGATGGAGGGAGGGAAGGAAGGGGAAGAGGGACAAGGGAGACGGAGGGAGGGGGGAGCCGGAGCAGGAGCTTGCCCAGCCCCATGTGGCTCAGATGAAGGGACAGGGGCCAGTTGCTTCCCTGAGGCCTGGGGCCTGGCGTAGGGCTCAGACACCCGCGCCCTGCCCTGGGCCCATCCTGTCCCTCCCACCCCTGCCCCCGGCTGCCCCTGCCCCGCCCGTCCCGGCTGCAGGTGCTCCCCAGGGAAGGGGAGAGTGCTCACGTCTGCCAGATGCCCAGCGTGACGGAGGCCAGCCACAGCAGCCCCACGATGCAGAACTTGGGCAAGTAGAAAGTCAGACACTTCCGCTCCCCCTAGAGCCAAGAGAACGGGCAGCTGAGGGCAGGGGGCAGGGCTCCGTGGGGGTCGGGGGCGGGGTTCTGGGCCCCTTTGAAAGGGAGGGGGGTGAGGAGGGCTAGTCAGGCTCTGGGCCCTCTGCGGGCAGGGTGGGGGCAGGGCGGGTGCTGGCCCTCCACAAGCAGGGCAGGGGCAGGGTGGGTAGGGGGGTCTGTGGGCGGGGCGGGGGTCTGCAGGGACTGGCCCTCTGCAGGCAGGGCAGAGGCGGGGTGGGGGAGGGGTGGGCAGGCGCTGGCTCTCCATGGGCAGGGGCAGGGCGGGCAGGGTGGGCAGTGCAGGGCGGGGGGGGGGGGGGGGGGGCGCAGGGCCGGGGTTCCGGGGGGGGGGCGGGCGCTCACCGGCGCACGGAGCCCGTGGTACACGCACAGCCAGAAGAGCAGCAGCGCGCAGAGGAAGACGGACTGGAACAGGTCGTCCAGCATCCCCGGGAACCAGCTGTTGACCAGGAAGGAGAGCGGGAAGAAGGGGTCTGCGGGGCGGGGGCGAGTGAGGCGGGCGCCGGCCCCAGCCCTGCACCCACCCCCCGATGGGCCGCCTGCTCCCACCGCGCTGCTGCCCGCTGGCCTGGCCAGGCGGAGGGGACGAGCCACACGGCGGGGGGACACGGCACAGCCCCGGGCAGCTCTAGACGCGTGTGGGGGCTGCCACCCCCGGGGACACAGTCACACATGAGGTTGGCGTCACACACAGGGTCACGGTCACACACGGGGACCCGGTCAAGTGGAGACACAGTCACACAGGGGGACATAGTAACACACAGGGTTAGAGTCACACAGGGTCACAGTCACACGTGGGGTTAGGGTCACACGTGGGTCAGTCACACTGGGGAGGCTCTCAGAGAGGGGACACGGGCACGTACCGTTGTAGAGCAGCAGCAGGGGCAGCAGGATGGCCGTCCACTTCTGCTCGATGCCCCAGTCCCGCATGGAGAACTTGCGCAGGGAGTGCGCGAACAGGCACTGGGGGGCGGCAGGGTCAGGGCGGGCGGGGATGCTGGGCCCTCCCGGGGCTGCTGGGCCCCTGTCCCCGGGCTGGCCGGGCGGCAGGGCGAGGGCCTTTGCGGGCTCACTTAGCTCTGGGCTGGGGGCTTCAGTGGGCAGTGCTCAGGGCTCTGCACTCGGGGTGGAGGTGGGTGGCCGTGTGCTTGGCAGCGCCCTCCTGGGGGGGTCTGCTCTGGCCAAGACTTGGGCTCCGGGCTCCGTTTCTGCTCCCTCTGGGTCTCCCAGGGGCACCCACGAGCTCTGGGCCGCCCATCAGACCGTCCCCCTGTGTGGGGACCCAGGGCACCTGGTCCTGTGACCCCAGGGAGCCTCTCCAGAGTCCCTTAGACATTCGCCAGGCGGACACCCCTGGCCAAAGCGGCCTCCGCAGACACGGCCCCTCACTGTCCCCTCCACTGCCCCAGTCACGGGCATCTGTGGACACGCCTAGTCCCCACCTTCCCATGAGGTCCACAGAGCCCAGAGACGTGCCGCCACGGCTGCCGCCTCGGAGGTGCCCGGGGCCCACACTCCTCCCCAGCGCCCGGGAGCGGCCGGCACAGGGCAGGGAGCGACTCACAGTGACCGTGAAGGTGAGCACCACGAAGAAGAAGCGGAACCAGATCTCCAGCTGCGAGAAGGCCGGGTCGTAGGTCTTCCACTGGGGAGAGAGGGGGAGGAGTGAGGAGGGGAGAGGCGAGGGGGGGAGAGGTGAGGAGGGGAGAGGTGGGGAGGGGAAGAAGTGAGAGAAAGAGGTGAAGGAGAGGGGGAGAGGTGAAGGGGAGAGGGAAGGGGGAGAGGGGAGGAGGGGAGAGGGGAGGAGGAGAAGAAGTGAGAGAGGAAGAGGTGAGGGAGGAGAGGAGAGGGGGAGAGGTGAGGGGGGAGGTGAGGAGGGGAAGAGGTGAAGAGGGGAGAGGTGAGGAGGGGAGAGATGAGGGGGGAGAGGTGAGAGAGGAGAGGCGAGGGGGAGAGGGGAGGGGAGAAGAGGGAGGAGAGTTGAGAGGTGAGAAGGGGGAAAAGGTGGTGGGGAGAGGTGAGGAGGGGAGAGGTGAGGAGGGGAAGAAGTGAGAGAAAGGTGAGGGAGGAGAGGAGGGGGAGGGGTGAGGGGGAGAGGGGAGGAGGGGAAGAAGCGAGAGAGGAAGAGGTGAGGAAGTAGAGGAGAGGGAGGAGAGGAGAGGGGGTAGAGGTGAGGGGAGAGGGGAGGGGGAAGAGGGGGAGAGTGGGAGGTGAGGAGGGGGAGAGGGGAGGGGGGAGAGGTGACGGGGGAGGGGAGGGGCAGTCAAGGGCCCTCGGCTGGCTGACTGTCCCCACACGTCCCGCGCAGGCTTCCCTTTGAAAAGTGCAGGCAGGAAGCTCAGTCTGAGGAAGCAGCCGGACCCGGGACGGGAACCGAGCACTTGGCTTTCCCGTATCAGCAGAACCAGCCGAGACTCTTCTGGCCCCGCAGGGTGGCCGCCCCCCCGACCCCCGCTGGCCGGCCAGGCCTCCTGCCCTTCCCGCTGCAGCCGGAGGCCTCCACCCTGACCGGCCCATCTCCACATCGCAGACCCTTTGCAGCCTCAGGGCAGCGCCCACCTGGGGCCGTGACTCCACGTGCTGTGCCCACTCCGCTCACCCCACCCCCGGGCTCGCACAACACTCCCTGTCACCGGGAGAAGCCCGACAGGCTCTGAGGGCGCTCAACGGCCAGCAGGCCCCCCTGGGCAGGGGACCCCGGAGGAGAGAGGCGTCTGCTCCGGTGGCACCAGCCAGCCCCGCACTCCCCGAGGGCTCTGGCACGGGCGGCCAGACAACCGCCCCGGCAGCGCAGGGCTGGCGTGCGGAGGTGCAATGAGCACACTTGGCGGCATCCGAGAGAGATTGGGGAGCACCAAGACGGGGTGAAAACCTCGGAGGCGACAGAAGGTGGGAGGGTGAAAGAAACCAACAGCACACCAGAGGACTGCGAGGGAGGTCCGAGGGGTCCCAGGGGCCCTGAGGGGCAGGAAGGCGACTTCTGTGAGCGGCAAGTCAAAGAATCACGATCCAAATCACCCAGAGCTCCAATGGTTGGAACGAGCCACAGTGTGTGGGGCCGAGGCAGGTCAGAGAGGAGAGACCAGCATGACAGTGACAGCTGGGAATGGTCACTGGGCAGGATCTGAGGGCTGAGAGTAGGAACGGATATTCCTGATGACCTCTCAGTCTCAATACTGCAAACCACAAGGCCCAAAAGGAGAGAGAGGGACAGAGACAGAGAGAGAGAGAAAGTGGCTGCCACAGAGGGGGTGGGGGTTGGGGGTGATGGGAGGGGACCTGGGGATATGGTGCTGGGAAATAAATGTAACACTGGTGGAGGGACGGGGGCTTGGAACACTGTGTAACTGAAATCCAAACATGAACAGCTTTGCAACGACCTATCTCACAGTGATTCAGTTAAAAAAAAAGTTTAAAAAAAAAAACATAAAATGAAAAAATGAGCAAATCACCCAGAGCTGAGCAGTGCGGGATCCAGGCCCGGGAGAGGCGAGCAGGGAAACCCCAGAGAAAACAGCCCCAAGACAAGGACTCCAGGACACACGCGCTCAGAGCGACAGGAGACAGAATGCGAGAGCGGCATGCCACACACAGGGCTGACACTCGGAGGAAACCTTAGAGAACTCACAGCAGATCTGACAAACGGGACGGGAAAGAAAGGTGGCAGATCATAAACCAAACAAAACAACACGGTGAGGCCTCCTACTCTGCAGAAGCCGGTGTTCTCGAACACACACCTTTCTCTCTCTCCCTCACATTCACTAATTTCCTTAAATAAAATCTATTAAAAATATATCTAATAAAATCCTCACCGGGGCCCCTTGAAGGGGGGTGGGTTGAGTTTCCCTCCCCGCCCCGAGCAGAGCCCCAGCAGTCGAAGACCTCCAGAACCAGCCACAGCCATGCTGAGACCACCCTCCACACGCACGAAGAAACCCGCAGAGAAACACAGGCACACGGGTCCCGGGGCTGAGATCTCCAAGCCTGCTCGGATCGGGGCTTAGCATCCTGCACCCAGATCCTCCATCTTCCAGTAGGTGGGGGTCACACCCACCAACTGCCCCCGGTGCCAGGTAATCCCATCAACGGCCAAGACCCAGAGACTATAAAATCCAGCTCCCGGAAGCACGCGGCCGCATTTGCAGCCGTGTGACATCTTATTATCTCATTCCTACTTTAGACAAACTGGCAGGCTACGGAATGTAATGTGCCCACACGGCAGAGTCTGGCAAACTCCCCGTGGCATACCCAATATGCCAAATACCAGTAACAATGATGGGTCTCATTCTCCTAACCCTGAAAGAGCCTTGAATATGGCACTTTTTAAAATCTCAGGGCTAGGACGAAGGAGATGTTACTGGTGCCTGCTCGAGGCAATCGACGAACAACAGGATGATCGTGATCATGATCATGAAAATCTGTTTGCTTCATGGGAGCCAGAGCCAACAGGAACAGCGGGACGGGTTCAATCCCTGGCATTCATATGGTCCCCGAGCACCGCCAGGAGGAATTCCTGAGTAGAAAGCCGGGAGGAGGGGCTGGAGTGATAGCACAGCGGGTAGGGCGTTTGCCTTGCTTGTGACCGACCCGGATTCAATTCCCAGCATCCCATATGGTCCCCTGAGCACCGCCAAGAGTAATTCCTGAGTGCAGAGCCAGGTATAACCCCTGTGCATTGCCAGGTGTGACCCAAAAAGCTAAAAAGAAAAAAGTCAGGAGGAAAATCCCTGAGCACCGCCAGGTGTGGCCCAAACACAAGAAAAATAAATGAAACAATTTCCGTTAGGGTCTGAGCGACAGTCCAGCAAGCAGGACTGCACTACCACAGGGCAGATGCAAATGCAGTAGCACAGAATTATCATCTATTAATTTCTTAGTTTATATACCTGCCAAAGAAAGACATGGCTTAAAATTTTTGTTTTTTCAGCTTAATGATTAATTGACAAGCTGTGGAATCTCCCAAGTTAAACCTTATTCATCTATGTGCATGGGCGTCACCATCTCCTGAACTGTCCTGTAGAGAATACAAAGACACACAGAAAAGGACCGTCAAGGGGTCCAAGGCAGCAGAATGGGGGTTCAAGCTGAGCTTAAATTGTGGGGGGAAGAGGGGGCCCTTGAGACGCTGGCGAGAGAAGGGGATCCCTGGGGTGAGGTGTGCATGGAAAATGTAATAACAGACCTGCAGGTCACAGTAACGCGATGAAGCGGTAATTAAGAAAAGCAGAAACTCAAAGTGTCCAAAAGCTTCAAGTTCCTAGGAACCAATAAAGGGGGTGAAAGACTCTCCCATCAGATCGAAGAGAACAGAGAGAGGCAAAACATTCCATGCGCCGAGACTTAAGCCTGAAAGCTTTGTAACTTTTCCCACAGTGATTCAATAAATAAATCTGGGCTGGAGCGATAGCACAGCGGGTAGGGTGTCTGCCTTGCACGCAGCCAACATGGCCGACTCGAGTTCGATTCCTCTGCCCCTCTCCGAGAGCCCGGCAAGCTACCGAGAGTATTCGATATGCCAGACACAGTAACAACAATAAATAAAAAAAAAATTTAAAAAAAGGAAAAAAATAAAACATTCCACGCGATGGACTGGAAGAATCAACACTGTCAAAATGACCGTCCAACCCAGAGCATCACACAGACCCAATGCACTCTCGCCAAAGCGCCAACGGAATTCTTGAAGGACTGGAAACAAACGCTACTGAACTCTCGATGCAGTCGTTAAACTCCCTGAACAGCCAAAGCGATTCTCAGAAAGAAAGATGGGAGGTTCCCTACACAGCCAAAGCGATTCCGAGAGAGAAGAAAGATGGGAGTGTGGCACTCTTGACTCACACCGAGTGGCGACAATGGCAAGGCAGTGGAACGGGGACAGACTCAGACCAACGAACTAGGACTGAGAGCGCAGAGATGAAGTCTCCGAGCTCGGACAGAGCTGGGCACGCAAAAGGGAGCGAGCAAAGGAAATGGAACAGCCCCACGCGGCAGCATGAAGCCGGAGCCACTTACACCATCCCAGAAGGTCACTCAAAGTGGAGTCGAGCCTCGAGCCCAACCCACACAACACATGGAGGAAAACGCAGGAAGATCTCCGGGAGGTGCACCTCAGAGGCGTCGTCGACCGTCTGACTCCTCTGGCAAAGGTGACAGAAGCCAAGACAGGCCAATGGACTATAGCAAGCGGCCTCCAGCCTTTCTCCAGAGAAGACACCGCTGGGAGGGCAGCCGTGAGGAGGATGCTTAGGAAGCTACGTCAGAAGCTGAGCGTGCCACTCTCCTGTGGAGCGTGGAGTGGGGTGGAGTCTCTTGGGCCATGGGGGATGGGGGGCAGGGAACGCTTACTGTGACTCTCTGGGGCTGTCCTGCCCGCCGGCTGGGGCCCAGGAGCCCAGAATCCTAGCCACTGCACGGGGACCACCCAAGGGTGGCGTGGTTCGGCTGTTAAGGGCACCCCTGGCATCCTCTTGATGGTTTTAGCAGGCAACTATTTCACATGCAAGAAGCCTGAGGGCAGGCCTCACAGCAGTGGCAGGGGAGTTGGGCCATCTCTCCCAGTCTCCCCGCCCGCCTGGGGTCCTGGCTGTCACAACCACAATCTGCCTGCCGGGTCATCTCAGCGCACCAACAGCCCTGGTCCAGAGAAGCAGCAGAGACTCCCAAATGAATCCCAAAATGGGTTAGCGCCCTACAGAGGTGTCTCTGGACCCCAACCATTGACAATTTTAGAATTCCAGAAGCGCTGAATATTCCATGAATATCTCCTGATATTCAAAGTGAGTGACAGAAAATAAATGACCGAGCATCTGCCCCTGGCAGGCAGGCTTGAATGGCAGTGGGAAAATTTGAGCAAACTATAATGCCCCAAAGTAGAGAGAGAGTATTGGGGAAATTGTCTGCCATAGAGGCAGGGGGAGGGCTGAGGTGGGGGGTGGGGTGGGCGATATTGGGGACATTGATGGTGGGAAATGTGCACTGGTGGAGGGAGGGTGTTCCATCACTGTACGGCCGAGGCTCAAACATGAAAGCTTTGTAACTACCTCATAGTGATTCAATGAAGAGAAAGAAAGAAAGAAAGAAAGAAAGAAAGGAAGGAAGGAAGGAAGAAAGAGAAACGTGAGGGTGAACAGTGCCCAGCTGCAACTCAACACCAGCATGCGAGACCCCGCACTTCTCCCTGCACGCAGCCTGGGCAGTGCTGGCCTCCCCAGGAGCCCGACAGGTCTCGTTCTGGTCCACTGCAGCGTGGCTCTCAGCCTGTCCAGCATCCCTGGACCTAACCAAGCGTGGCTTTCCAATCGCTTCCACGCTGCCAGCCCTGCTGAGACGGCAGCACCCGACATCCATGCCTTGTCTCACTCCAGCAGGGCTGGGCAGAACCCCCTCCTCATGGCAGCGCGGGGCGCACTCACCGTGAAGTTCATCTCCTTGATGGGGAGCTGGAGGTGCTCAAAGCCCACAACCACTGTGTACTGGGTGTAGTTCAGGTAGCCCAGGTGCGCCACAATGATCTCCGCGCACTTCTGCAACACACAGGAGATAGGGCATACAGGGGTGACCGGGGGGCAGCCTGGCTGCAGAGGGGAGGCCCCGAAAATGGACCCCCATGCACAGGACACTCCCATGCGGAGTACCCCCCGCCCCCGACAGCCCCTCCGGTCACACTGAGAAGGACTGTAGCCGGAGCAAGTGTCCACTGCCTGTGTCCACTGAACCCTGGGATGGGGGGTAGGCGGCGATGTCAGGTACACAGGTGGCCCCTGCCATGGGCAACAGTGTGAGTACAATGACAAACGTGGCGTCCCAGTGTACTTCGCCAGCAGTAAACTGACCTGTGTGTGCATGTGTGTGTGCGTGTGCATATGTGTATGTGTGTATATATGTGTACACGTATGTGTGTGCATGTGCAGGCATCTGTGCATGGTGTGTGCATGTGTGTATGTGTGTGCATATGTGTATGTGTGTATGTATGTGCGTGCATGTATGCATGTGTGCGTGCATGTGTATGTATGTGTGTGCGTGCAGGTGTATGCATGTGTGCAAGTGTGTATGTATGTGTATGGTGTGTGCACGTGCGCATGTGTGTGCATATATGTGCGTGCATGTCTGCATGTGTCTGCATGTGTGTGCATGTGTGCATGCATGCATGCATGCATGCATGGTGTATGCATGTGTGTGCGTGCATATGTATGTGCGCATGTGTGTGCGTGCATATGTATGCACGTGTGCATGTGTGTGCGTGTGTGCATGTGTGTATGCGTGTGCATGTATGCGTGTGTGCATGGTGTGTGCATGTGTGTGCGCGTGCAGGCATGCAAGTGGGGAGCCTTTCTTGGGGACCTGGGCACAGTATCTGGTGAGTTTTTTATCCCTTCTCTGCATGCTTTTCCCCTACCCAAAGACCTGGCACTGGGCTGCGCACATCTCAGGGGGAGCACAGGCCTCCTGTTAGGGCCCCCTAACCCCGCACACCCCCCTCACACACACAGGACACAAGCAGCCCTGGTCCTGGCCTCACCTCCGCACAGGTCAGGGTCCTCGTTCGATTGTGGACTTTGTTGTGGATGAACATGATGGTCCCGTCCTTGGCGACCCCGTCCACCTTCACGGTCATGGGGAAGCTGGTCTGAATGGACGTCTCTGTGGCAGGGTGAGAGGGTCAGCACTGCCCTGTGTCCCTGCCTGCTGGCCAGGGGGCCCAGGATCCCCTTCACTTCCCGGGGTCTCTGTCCACAAAGGGCCAGAGCGGGCGCCTGACTTCTCAACCCCCAGGGAAAACGGTACTTTAACTTTATGCCAAGGTCAGAACCGTGTTCTCCTCTGATTCTGGACTCCGCTATTTCTCTGACGATTCTTTGAAAATATGCCAGAGACTGAAGAGCATAAAGAAGACATTCAACCCCACCCCCTCATGAGAAGGACGCTCAAACCTTGTCCCCGCGCCAGGCCTCTCTCGACACGTGGAAGCACAGAGGACCGATTTACCTCGGCTCTGCAAGGCACAACTCAGGGGGCCCCTCTCGGGCACTGCCCGGGGCCCTCCAGAGCTCAGGAGGCAGAGGACCCAGTGATGGGTCCCTCTGCGGTCCTCGTCACTCAGCCAGGGATAGTCCTCGCACCTGGGAGACTCAGCAGCATCCCAGCCTCCCAGCCCCGCTGCCCCAGCTGTGACACCAAAATGTCTCCAAGTCCCACTCTGAGTGTCCTGGGCAGCAGAGCCCTCGGCCCGGCGGCCACCACCACCCAGAGGGAGAGTCCAAACTCCACGGGCTGTGCTGGGCCCCGGGACACGTCAGGGCCTCGTGTGCCCGTGGAGAATGATCGCCCCCCAGTGGCCTGTGAGACCCCGGGGGGCAGGCGCCCACCTTTCGACTGCGCCAGCTGCACCGTGCATGTGAGCCACAGCTGCTGGTTGTACGTGGACAGGGGGTTCGACAGGATCCGGATGGGCTTCAGCTGCTACAGAAATGCGCTGCATTAGAGAAACCCCATGACCTTCCGCCAAGCCCACACAATGCTGAAGGTCAACCCTTGGCGGGCCGCAGGCAAGGCCAGAGCCCACCCCGCTGTGCCTGTGCCGGGGGCTCGGGCCTCCTCCTGCCTTTATAAGAACTGCAGCGGCAGACGCCGGCCACACACCCCGCCCGGCTCACCTTACTGCTGTAACTTAGCGAGAAGTTGGCTGCGGACGTCTGGATCACTTTGGGCCCTGCAGCAGGAGAGAGGAGAGACAGGGGTCGCCAGGTGCGGGCAGGTGGCGGTGCCTGCCCTACGCACCCACAACGCACAGGGCACCCCGCGGGGCGCCAGCCGGGGATCCCACAGGGACACTCCACGGGGTGCCGACTGGGGGATCCGCACAGGGGCACCATATGGACGCTGCCCAAGGAGTCCACACGGGAAATGGGCACAGAGGCACCTGGTGCAGGTGAGGCAGGGGAAGGTGGGCTTGGGCGCCCGCGCCTGGCCTGTAGCAGTCCCAGGTCAACCTGGCCGGACCCCCAGCGCTGCCATGAGCAACCCCCAACATTGGCTCTGGAGCAGCACTGTGGGGTGGCCCCAACACACATACACAGGCGCACACACACACACACACACACACACACACACACACGCAGGCAACGCACACATAGGCAATGCACACACTCAGACAACAGACACACCCACAAACAACACACAGACTCACAGCACAAACACACGCAGATAAAGCACACATAGACAACACACACACACTCGCAGAAAAACACACAGACAACACACACACACCCACAGACAATGCACACACACACTCAGAAAACACACACACATGCAGATAACACACACACTCAGACAATGCACACACTCACAACATGCATGCACACTTACCACACACACATTCGCAGACGTGCACACACACTTGCAACATGCACACTCGCATGTACACATACACACTTGCACATAAACACACATGCAGTCATGCACACACACTTGCAGACACACACTTCACGAATGGTCCTTGTGGCCTCTATATCCAACTTCCTGGGCCTCGGAGGTCCCCGGGTCGGGACCCCCCCAGACAGGACTCCCCCCAGGGCGAGGGCCCAGCCTGCAGGACTGAACAAGCCGGCATCTGAGGGTGAGCAGAAACGCGGAGGGTGGGGGCTGGTGTCTCTCAGAGCTGGCGGTGTCCTGAACGCGCCACTTGCCATGAGGGGAGGCCACAGGGCCAGGCTGGGCAGAGGTGGCCGGTGCCACAGCCTCCTCCTCTGTTGCCCAAGGCCTGCGACCTCTGACACCATCCCCGGCCTCACCCTGGGGTCTCCCTGTGTGTCTCTGTGTGATGTCAGGGTAAATGTGATTTCCGTGTATCCGTGAGGGTTCTAGAAGGTTCCCTGTGGATTCAGCAGGCTGCTGGCCCCTGACTGGCCCCAACAGGCAAGACAGGAGAGGCCGAGGGCCGGGACACGGGCGCATACTCAGACTCGTGGCGGGCATGGGCCACCATCGGAGCCAGCCCTGAGCCAGACGTCCTGCGGCTCGTTGCTCTGAGGTGCTGGGTATTGTCTCCTCCTGCTCGGCCCACGCAGGGACAGAGGTGGTGCACACCCAGGGCCCAGCGGGCCGGCCCGGCCCCTCCACCCCCAGGCCAGTCTCTCCCACCGCACCTGACCTGAGGTGGTCACCACCGGGTCTGTGGGGGGGTGCAGCCGGGGCGCCGGCCATGTGGACAGAACCCCAGCCCCATCTTCACCCTGTCAGACCGAGATGAGCTGGCTATGGGCTGGGGGGTGTGGGGAGCTGTGCGTGGACCAAGGGGGCCCCATGGAAGGCCCCAGGTGTGTCAGCATCTGTGGTGCAGGTCCCTCCCAGGGGGTCTCTCATGGACAGACGAGGCCATCCGGACCGTGACACACTCACCCTTGATCCCCTGGGTGACCTCAAAAGCTGTGCCCCACCCCCTGGGACTCCAAGGGGCCTGTGCCCCTCCACTCCTCGGCTCAGGAGGCCAGGCCCCGGGGTGTGGCCGGCTCAGACAGGAAGTGACCGGCGTCCCCTCCCCCCACCGCGCCCCACTCACCTCTGATGCCCACAAAGACCGTCAGGCCGAAGCAGACGAAGAAGACAACGAAGACCAGCACGAAGTGGCGCTTGGACAGCGAGTAGAGGCGCATGGGCGCCAGCCTGCGGGGACAGGGGGTCAGGCCCAGCACAGGGGCGGGGCGGCGCATGGCCCACGCGGCACTCGGGGAGCAGCACTTAACCCGTGAGGGCTGAGTGGCCCTGTGTAAGGACCATGCCCCCAAGTGCAGGGGGGGAGGGGAGGAGACAAGGGGGTTAGAGGGACGGTGGGGGAGGCGGGGAGGAAACAGGGGGTAGGGAGGGACAGAGGGAGGTGGCAATGCACTGTGGGTGTCGCGGGCGCACCCTCTTGCAGCGGGCAAAGGTGAGCCCCTGGCATGGGTCTGCTGATAGGGGCCGCCAGCAGGCTGCGACCTTGGGACCAGAGCTCGAACACGTCACCATGGGTCGCTGCTCCAGAGGGATGGAGAGGGAACGCACAGTGACAGACGGGACAGGGCAGAGGCTGGGGCCCTGATTCCACCCGATCCTGAGCCCTGGGCACAGCGAGGGGCAGAGGCTGGCCAGGCGGGTCTCCGGGGGCACAGAACCCCCTGCGCGGACACCTCAGCCCAGTAGCCGACAAAGGCGGCACATCGTTGGAAAGGGTCAGCGCCAGGTGTGTGTGGGCTCACCGCATGCCCGTGGGGGCCACATCATGCTCTGGTTAGGCCCAGTGCCCACCCCAGGGTCAGTTTCCTCCCCCCACGGGGCCCAGGAGCTCCCAGGGGCACCTGCCAACTGAAGAGGCGAGACAGGGGCTCCCCCGGCAGGACCCTCGCCCATACCACACTGAGCCGATCCTCAGCAGGAACCAGAGGGTCCAGGGTGAGATACCCTCAGAACAGAAGCCACCAAGATGCGGATGGCCCTCTGCAAGGCCACCTGGGACTGAGGGGAAGCCTCCTGGCTACCCACCTGGCCTTGACATCTGAAAGGGGCCAATGTAACTAGGATGTAACTAGGATGCACTTTCACTGGGAAAAGCCCCCACACTGGGGCGGGAGAACAAGTGGGAAGGCCCAGCCCTAGATGTGGTGGACCCGGTTCCTACTCCCCCTCCCCCCCCCACCACACACACACCCCAGCATCAGCCCTGCGGGATCTGGTCCCTGAGCACAGCTGTTGGTGACCCGAAAACAAAAACAAAAAGTCAATCTGCAACTTAGTGACCAGCCACAAACAAATCCTGAGGCTTTAAACAAATGTTACAATAGTATTGCAAATGTAACAACAGTATCTAAGGAATACAGGAAAGTACATCTTTTTTCCTGTAAGACCTGTAGCACTGCCCTCCCGGAAGATGTTCGATGATGTTCGAGGGGGCCCAGTAACGTCTCCATTGTGAGACTTGTTGTTACTGTGTTTGGCATATCGAATACACGTCACGGGAGCTTGCCAGGCTCTGCCGTGCGGGCGGGATACTCTCAGTAGCTTGCCGGGCTCTCAGAGAGGAGCGGAGGAATAGAACTCGGGTCGGCTGTGTCAGCCGCATGCAAGGCAAACTACCTGCTGTGCTAGCACTCCAGCCCTATAAGATGAATAAAAAAAAAATCAAAAAAATTTAGAAAACCCCATCAAATTTGGCGGGGGAGAAGTGAAAATGTACAGTTCAGCAGCTGGGCAGATAGCCTAGTGGGCGGGGTACCTGCCCTGAATGAGCTCTAACACCCCATATGGTCCCCTGTGCCCCACCAGGATCGGTCCCTGGATGCAGAGGAAGGAATAAGCCCCGAGCCCTGCTGGGTGTGGCCCCCAAAACTAGTAACAACGACAGTCTTAAAATGAGTTCTTGAGCAAGTTGCTCTCAACTCAGAATCGATTATGCTCCACACGGGATGCCACACGTGAGCTCCTGGCAAACATAAAGCCCAAAACAAGAGCAGAGACAGATACGAACCCAGATGCACGGAGAACATGAAGACAGCGCCTCAGAGGCAAGGAAACAAGGACAGGGGCAGAGACACGCGCACAGGACCAGGACCTGAACCACAACTGGACACGCGGGGACCAGGGACCTGCTCCAAAAACGCACAGGGGCGAAACGGATGGGAAAACAGGCTGAGCCCAGAGCGAAGACCTCCCCGGGGCTGAGCCGCTGGGAGGCCCAGGTTGGACCCCCCACCCACACCCCATACCACACAGCCCGCCAAGACACGGCCCGGAGCACAGAGCTGGGAGTAGCCACCAGGACTAGGGGAGGACCACTCCAAAACACACACACACACACACACACACACACACACACACACACACAGAAAACCAGGCCCATGATGAGGCTGCCAAAGAAATCCACGGCCACAGCTGAGGCTGAGAAGACCCAGGTGAGTGCCAACCTCAAACTGGCTGGGGGGACACTTCACGGCGGGCAAGATGCACTGGGGGCAAAAGACACAAGGGGGCCGGAAAGGGGGAGCGGCGGGCGGGAGAGCAGCCCCCAAGAGTGAGCCCCGAGCACCGCCGGGTGTGGCCCCAAATCCAATAAATCCGAAGAACGTTGCGTAAGGACAAAGGAACAACCAGTGAGAGCCTGTCACAGCTGTGGAGGCAGCGCTGAGCCGCACAAAGCAAATATTAGCAGGCCCAAAGGTCTGGAGCGACAGTCGCAGGCGGAACCTGGACATCTGACCCAGCCCTGGGCTGACCCCAGGGGTGTCGTCAAGGAAACTGGGCTGCAGAGGACCCGGACCAGATGGCCCCGGAGAGACGCAAAGCAGTTCGAGAAAATAAATCACATTTGACCCTCTCTCAGCCCACAGTGGTCTGAAACCAAATCACTTAGAGAAAGTCAACTAGAAAAATCACACGCGCGCACGCGCACACACACACACCCAGAAGTTAAACAACGCGCTAGGAACAACCACCGGCCAATGAAGATGTCAACAAAGAAATTTGAAAGAAAAATACCCTGAGATAAACTGACAATTGACAAAACTAAATCTCCAGGAAGCAGCAGAAGCAGAACCCAGAGGGAATTCCACGTGACTGGGGCCGACTCAAGAAACAAGAGCACCGATAAGCAAGCAGGCGGAGTTGGTCGACTCCTGCTTGACTTGACTTGACTCGACTCGACTCCCTCCTGGAAGTGTCAGGCCAGGCCTGATGGCATCCTGAGACGGGTCCCCACAGTGGACGGAGTTAGCCTGCAACTCTCCCGAGAACCATCAGAACAGGGATCCTACGGTTACCCACTGGGTATCCCCAAACTCAGCTCAAGAGTTCAGCGTCCTCCAGACAAGAACACGCCACATAAAGTAAAAATAATAAACACAGCCCGAGAGTCCGGGTGAAGGAAGCCAAAAGTCCTCGACCAAATAACGGCAACATGACTGAACAAGGCATTCAAAGGCGGGACGGCAGGAGCAAGTGGGGTTCACTCCGGAACACAAGAAGGATCCGACCGCTGCAACACCATCGACGTGAGAAACCACCTCCATGGAAGGAAGGATTAAGATACCACCCAACCTTCTCAACAGACGCACAGAAAAAAACTTTAATGTCCACACTGTCACTGTCCTCCCGTTGTTCATCGATTTTCTCGAGCGGGCCCAGTAACGTCTCCATTGTGACAATTGTTACTGTGTTTGGCATATCAAATACATCACAGACGCTAGACCACACATGGGGAGAAAAACCTCAAGGAAACTTCAACAAAATGGGTTTAGAGGAAGAAACCACCTATGAGAGGTCGCAGCTAAGATCAGTCCTGAATAAAGGTGGAAGGCTGAGCGCGGAGGACTCTTTTGAGACGGGCCCCGGACGGGTGTGGACGTGGCCAACAAATCTACAATAAAACTGGCAACAAACCACAAGTAGGCCCAGGACGGTCTGCTCAGTAAGTTCCTGGAAAGCCTGGACATCCACGTGCAAAAGGACCAGCCCACCTGACACGGGTCACAAACGCTGTCCCACACGGAGCATAGGGGAGTGACCCGAAGCCGTCCAGCACGGACAGCGCCTACGTTAGTGGCTGGCCAGACAGAAACCCACGCAAACACTGTCCACAACAGACAGCAGCCCACCGCAGGCAGAGATGCTGCAGCAGCGACAGAAGCCTGTCCCCTTCAAAGCTGACAGGTCACAGGTGTCCTAAGGAAGCTGGGGGTCACGGATGCCCTGGGAAGCTGGGGGCGAGGGGGGGGGTCACAGGTGCCCTGGGGAGCGGATGCATCACAGATGCCCTGGGGAGAGGATGTGTCACAGGTGTCCTGGGGAGCTGATGGGTCTCAGGTGCCCTGGAGAGCGGATGGGCACAGGCCAGCCCGGGACCAAGAGCAGGAGGGGAGCAGCGGGCTGAGCGTCTGCTGGGGGCGAGGAGCGTAGTTTCCACCAACAGGGCTGGGCTGGAGTCCGAACCAAACTGTCCTTCCGAGAAGGCCGCCGCCGGGGTCTGGACACTGCTACGCGGCCAGCGCTCGGCCCCGCGCCCTGCCGGGGGCTCCCCGCACCCGGCCCCGGCAGGACGCACCGCAACGTCCGCCGGGGGCTCCCCTACACCTTCCAAGGGTCCCGCCGGAGGGACCTTCCAGGGTGGCCGGGTCCTGTGCGGGGCTCGAGTGACCGGCCGAGGCCGGAAACTCCGGCGGCGCGGGCGGAACCGCGCGGGCACCATCCCGGCTCCGGCTCCCGGGCGCGCCGGCCAGCGCTCTCCGTCCCGCCGCGCCCCTTCCCTGCGCCCGGGACCCCTCGGCGCGCGCTGCGTCAAAGCTCCGGGACTCGCGCGGGCGTCGCCGGGCACCCACCGGGTACCCCCTGCACCTCCTCCGGGCCCGGCCCGGCCCGGCGCGGCCGCCAGAACTCGCCGAGCGCGCGGAGCCGCCGACGTGTCCGGGCGGGGGGCGCCGGGCCGCTCCCCCGGCAGGGCCTCCCGGGACCCCGGACCCCCGCCCGCCGGTCGCACTCACGGTTCCATGGCGGCGGCGCCCCGAGTCCGCCCGGCCCCGCACCCGCCCGGCTGCCACCGCCGCAACCCGACAGCGGTCCGAGCGCGGCCGCCACACGCGTCAGCGCGACGCCGCCGTCACGTGCGCGGAAGCGGCGCGGCCGGGCGGGGCCGGGAGCGG